CCATGTTTGTAAAGAAATGTTCTCAGGAAAAGTCTCTGGAGGGGTATCTAGTGCATGACCATTTCATGATAAAATGGGATGGTGGCCATCAAGAACTCATGCATTTACTTTCCTGCCACCTCTGCAATCTCATTTGACGCCACTTCCCATGTTGGTAAGCAGGTTGCACCTCCCTTAAAAATGAGGACCAAACTCCTAGCTCCTTGGTTGAACCAGCAGAGAGATAATAAAGCGAAAGAATGCGTAATGTTCATTACACTGCTGTGCGGGACTGGGGCTAAAGCTTGGGCCCTAAATGGTTTCTAATCCCAGGATGCACTGATTGTGATAATGTGTGAGAGCAAACCGGCTGCCTGTTATAAAATCATTGCCAATATGAGCAGAATAAAAAATGGTGAAAGGGATCTGGTTACAGATTCTGTTTATTCCATGAGGATTTGAGGAAAGCAAAGAGGAAATGATTCTTTTTGGAACTTGTTCTTGAAAGATTACCTTTTATGCAGGTAAGTCAAAAGGTTAAAGAAGTGAACAGAATTTAAATACAGCCAGTTATAGTGATTTTTCTATAGTTTGACTTAACTGCTTCATAACATAATAATAATAAAAAAACCCCAAAACAACCTGCAGTACGTAGCCAAGGACAAAGAATCCTGAAGATATAAAAGCTGTAAAATCTTGCTAAGGCTCGTCTATAAAATATCATTTTGATTTTGGGTCCAGAGAAGTGCCGTAGATCTCAAATTACAATAAATCTCTCAAAGTCCGATAGTGGTTTCCGCCAGCCTGCGCCTGCAGCGGACAGCGTTGCGCCATCTCGTGAAGCTATGATTAAGGAATTGGGGGGAAAGGGTGAGAGTGATTCTGGACTTTATTTTGGCGCCTTGCAGAGCTCAGTGTTACCACAATTATTGGTTTTCTGAAATATGTCGCTATGCATTATTCTGATCAGATTACTTGCATTGCACAATTCTCTGGTGACTCACGGGACAATAGCACAAAATAAATCTCTCTCTGAAATTTAATCTCCGTGTCTGTACACTGTTAAGAACATCTACAGCTCTCCTGTAAGGAGCTGTATATCTTCCCTAACTGAAGTGGGGCTTGTTCTTTAATTGTCCATAATGCAAATTCACAAGCAGGCAAATGAGCACATGGCTGGTGTGTGTGTTAGGAACGAGGCGTTGAAACGTAGCTGATTGTTTTCCAAGGCCCGTGTGATGACATCCTGACTTCTTTTATAAAAATGCCACAGCAGATTGGGTTGAGTGGTTTACCCAAGGCATTGCCCTTTCACCTCCAAGAAGTTTCTAGTCTAATTCTTTTGAAAATCTTCCTCCCCGGCGAGGGGTGACTGAGTACGTGGAACCATCCTTGTCATTTTGTACCTTTTTCCACGGAGGCTCTGTCAGGCTCCCCTCATTTTAAAGGGACAAACTGATCTGTCTTTAGCTGTAGAATTTCCTCCGGGGTGGCGGGGTGATTTGCTCGAATAGGAAACCATGAGATACCTGTGCCCTGTATTGAAGTGACCCTGCCTCATGTTCCTTGAGCTGTGGGGCACATTCATGTTGAAAATGAGTGATGGTGGGGGCAGGAATCCGACGCTGTAAAAATAGGGCCCACGTGCACAGCTGAAGTGCTCACAGCAGCCAGGCTTCCTAAGGGCCCTCTCTTTAGAACAGGACAAAATGCCATGGGGACATGCAGCCGTCAGCCCAGGACTCAGCTCTGACTGCCTCTTGTTTGTGAGGAAACCTCACATCTTGAAGTCATGTTTTCCTCTCTTTCTAGCAATCCTATTGTCAGAATGTTGTCAGCTCCCCTGACTTGGGTGTGTACCTCGGGAGCAGACTCATATCCTGGGGAAGTGTCCAGGAAATGTTTATTCTTTATTTCAAAATTAGCGTTTGTTTTTTTTTTAAATGATACAAGAAAGACATGCTCATTATTAAAGGAAGCAAAGAGTACAAAGTATGTTAAACGGAAAGTTGCCACCCCACCCCTGCCAGCCCATTTTCCACTTGTCGGGGTCCCTCTCCCCCGAAACTGCCTGGCTCTCACTGTCTTCCGTGCCCTCGCGGGCATTGCTGGGCACGTACACAAGAGGAATTGCGTGTTATACCCTGTGTGTCTTGCCTTTTCTCGCCTCACATCCTGGAAGGTTTTTCACTTCCATATGTAAGTTCAAGCTGATGAAAATTCATCCTGCTTAGTATTCCAAAATATACTTCATTTAACTTGTTCTCAATTCATAGATGTTGAAGTTGTTTTCGGCAAGAAAAAGGATGCTGCTTTAGAGCGTAAGCCCTGATACGAGGGACTTGGCTCAAGTCCTCGCTGAAGTGCTCGTCGGCTACGCTGCCTACCCTCTCTGAAACCGTTTCCTCATCTGTAAAATTGGGATGAAAGAAACTCATGTCACGGGGTTGTTGAGAGAATTAGAACAATGCACATAGACAGTGCAGACCAGGGCTTTGCATACTGAAAGCTTTCTCTGTATTTTTTCTGGAGTAAACACTCTGTGTGTGTGTGTGTGTGTGTGTGTGTGTGTGTGAGAAAGAGAGAGAGAGAGAGAGAGAGAGAGAGACAGCAAGCAAAATCAAGTCAATGCACTGTAAGACTAGCTCTCATAGGTGGAATTCAGCTGGATCAAAGCATGTGCACTGTGCATGTTGACGAGTATTGCCCAATGACCATTGTCAACGCTGTACCACGCCACGCCGTCAGTAAGGATGCATGCGTGCCCCTTTCCCGTACTCGGGTAGAACTGGACATCAGTGGGTGGGGCAGCCTTGCGAATCAGCCAGGGGAAGTGGTGGTATGGCTATGATTGGCATTTACTTACTTACGGTTTTTTCATATCTTTGTTGTATTGCTTCTCAGCAGCCCGTTTATATCTTGGACATTTTCCTTTGGGGCCAATCAAATGTAAACGAACAAGATGTGGAAAAGTTCTGTTCACATTTGTAAAACCTCCCTGCCACCTGTCATGGGTGCTGGAAGCACTTTCCCCACCATTTTCTCGTGGAACTTTGCTTTGCAGAATTTTACAGTTTATTGAGTCAGCATTATCAGTCTTGTCCTTTGTTTTTTTTTCTTCCTAGCTTTCTTTGTACACAAATATAACTGTTTTAGCCATTTCTAATTCATCAGGGCAATCCGCGCTTCTTTCGGGTCTATCATGCTCGCACTGACGGTGCAAGCCCCGGAGATCTCCCGAACGTCTTCATCTTGCATCACTGAAGCTTTCTATCTGTAGAACCACGTGTCCCCCACGCCCGCTCCCCCAGGCCTGGCAACCACCATTCTAACTCTCTAAACAAATCAGGATTGTGCACTTAAAAACTGGTTAAGAAGGTACAGCTCATGGGAAGTGTTCTTACCGCAAAACAAAACAAAGACCAAAACACCAAACCAAATGAACCACAAAACCCAGACGGACAGGAGGAAACATGTGGAGGTGAGAGGTCTGTTTCTTGCCTTGATCATGGTGATGGTATCACAGATGTACGCACATCTTCAAACTCATCGACTTGTATACATTCAATAGGGCTTGTTTTGTAAATATACCAGTTACACCTCAATAAAGCACGCACACGCACACAAGTTAAGTATTTGGCCAAAATGAAATTTACTTTGGTGTCGAGTTGCAGTAGTGATTCGTTATTCCCTTCCCCAGTTTGCTGGTCAGTGCCCTGAACAATGTCCTGAAGCGTCCATCCGTCTGAATGGCAGCACTGTAACATGAACATTTCTATACGTATTTTAGACATTTTTGGAGACTACTCTGTTGCCTGTATTTACCTAGCCATTCTTATTTCTGTATCATATTGCCTTTAAAAAAATTATTCCTTTAAATTATCCTGTAGGGAAATTGAATTTCATTCTTTGAGTGTGCAGCTCGGATTTTTAGCACGTTATGTACGCATCAAGCTGCTTTAAATAGTGTAACTTTATTATAGGCTTTATTAATGCAGATTACTCTTCTCTTAAAAATGTTTCTTGACACTTTCCATATAAGCATCTTAGAATAATTTTGTCCAATTCCAAAAACACCTGCTGATGTTATTTTTTTATCTATTAATTTCGTGCTAACTGCTCTCTGTTTACTATTGAGGTATGTGTTTTTGTTTACTCAAGTTCTCTTTCATGTGCTGTCACTGAGCTACGTGTATGGTTCTGCATGTTTCTTGAGTTTATACTTAGCCTCATCTGGTTTCTTGTTATTGTGAATGGGAAATCCCCGCCCCATGTATTTTTTNTTCAAGGGAGGTAAGTAGGACGTGGCTGTCAAGGCTGGAGGCCCCTGGAAGAGATCCCTTGTTTTTAGGAGTCATGCTGAAATTTTTAGGGATGGAGTGACTACCTTTCAAATGATTTCTCCAACGTGGCAACCCGTGAGAGGTCCTGGACCTGGCCGGAAGCTTGGCTGGCTCCGGGGTGGTGTAGGAAGAAGTGTTTGCAGCGGCAGGAAAGGTCTATTGAGTGCCTGGGAGGAGCCACAGAAGCTGGTCCCACCTCACTCCCAGGCAGAGACCCCCATACATAATTTAAGAAAAATAAAAGAAAGTCTCTAGCAGCTAAGCCCCAGTGCATCCATTTTTAAACCCTTCACACCTCACCCCACCCAGCAGGAGTGAAAGCCCTGGATTCACAGTTGGGGCTCCCTCCCAGGGTTAGGGAAGGCGCAAAGGCCTCGTGGTGTCTTCCCCTTCCTCACCGCCTGCTTTCTTACACGCGGGTCAGGGTTTTGGGTGTGGTTTTGTTTGTTTGTTTGTGAAGTTGTTATTTGGGGCCCACAGGTCCCATGGCTAACCCAGGTGGCAGGAAGCAGAGCGGCTGCTTTTGGGGTGCCGTGTGTGTGTGTGTCAGAACGCCCTAACGTCTGCTGGCTGGGTGGGGCGCAGGGGTGGACGAGGCCAGCGGGGTGTCCGAGTGAGCAGGAGCGGCTCCACATCTCATCAAAGGCAGATATTAACGGCTTTAGTCTGACTCCCCAGGTTTCCGTCTGAGCTGGGTGGCGACTTTGGCTGCCAGATGGAAGAAGAAAAAGCCCATCAAATTCACAAATGCAGTCATGTGTCGTTTCTGCTCAGCCACATCTGGAGAGATACCTAAATGTGGGTATTGGGGCCCATCTTTGCTTTCTGGTTGTTTAAAGGCTCAGCAATGCTGAGATTTCTGGTGGACAGAATTGACTCAATGCATAGAGCAAAGGGGCTGGAATTGGGGTTAATGAAAGAATGCATTCTGATTTAATTTTTCAACATTACATTGTTGTTGTTTTTTTTAACAAGACCCCTTTCTATGTATACACCAATGAACATGGTGTTGTCAACAGAGGAGCTAATACTTAACCATGATAGCTAAACCTTTTGTGAGGTCAAACTTCGGTTTTCTTTTCTCACCCTTTAAAAGCCTAAATTAGAAACTCTAGCCTAGAGCTGTGGTTGCGAGAATGGGGTGTGCATTAGTCCCGCTCAGGATCTCTTATGTGAGTGCCTGTTTGTCACAGGGGCTGGTGATCTCAAGGACTTGATGACCTCGATCGCAGTTCCAGACACCAAGGGGAACGTGGACTCAATGCTTGCAGAAAGGCCTCACTGAGCACCCCTGGGTCCCCTAGATGCTGGGCTGATGAGCCTGTGTCACCCACGAGCAGAAGACTGAACATTTCAGGTTGGGAAAATGATAGCAAAACCCAGTATTTTGTTGCCTTTGGATCTAAAAAGTATTTTTGTTATGTCCTGTTTATATATCTACACGTGGTTTTAAAATACGGCCCCTTAAACATGTCATTAATGTCTGTTGCTCATAGTACAATAAAGTGTCAAGGGTTTGCAAAGACTCAACCTTCTGACAAATAGCTTTTTATCCTATGGTTGGTCTTACTGAGCCATTTTAACATTTTTTTTTCCTCAGTATCTAACATCGTATTTTAGTTCTACCGTGATAGGCTTGACCTATTCAAAATATTGAGTGTCTCCTTCAGTGAGGTCATTTGAATAAGCCTTTTCAAAGCAGACAGTGTTCTTCAATGGCATTTTAAAGTGTCACGAAAAAAAGTGTTTATTTCCTCTCTCGGTTCACAATCTCATGTGAGGACCTCATTGTCCCCTAGAGTGGAAGGCAGGGCCCTGCTGCCCGCCTGTCTGACCAGCTTTCCTGGTTTGCTCTGTGCTTGGAGGACAGTCAAAAGTCTTATGATTTTCTTCAACCCTGAATCCAGACCAGAGGGCCCAGCCCCGCAGGAGTGAAATTGTGTATAAACCTGGTGTCAGATGTGCCCCCTGTCGGCCCCGCAGGGCGGCCCCCACACGCCTCAGGTCTGGGTCACTCACATCACTGCGCACAAGAGAATCACTCAGCAAATGAAAATGTCTCCTCACGGCGTCCCTGCGGATTCTGAGTCGTCGATGGGATGGAGTGCTGTGCGGGCAGCGTGAGGTCCAGCACGTGTCTGTCCCTTGGAGGGAGAGTTGGTGTGAGCTCTGACAGGAAGGGGCTTTGCCCACAGTACAGCAAGACGCTTGCTGGAGTGGACACGTGGTGATAACCGCCACTGATAGGTGACATCCAGGACTGCTGTCATACAGGAATTTCACCAGCAGCTCATTCTGCTCATCCCCAGCCGTAACGTTTGTCATTAACTGGTGGCCAGCTCTACAGGTTTCTCAGCCCAAGTGTGACTCGACCTGTTTCTTCAAGGAAGGCTATAATCTTGATGCTTCTGACATTCAGTTTGTTCGCCTTCTTTGACGCCTCCATGCCACTAATTGAGAAAGTCCATCGAAGACACAGGATGCTAGTGACATGCAAACAGGCAGGGCAATAAAACTCAATTTTCAGGTAATCCTCACCTTACTTTTTAATAGCTCTTGACTATTTTTGAATGCTTGATAGAAATTATCACGTATCACAGATTTAATTTTCATAATGTGTGTTTGTATGGAGTCCTGTTGATTATTAACAATCACTGTATTGGAGTATTTAGGTTATTATTTTCCTGTTAAAAATAGTTAATTATTAAAACTATTCTTTGTTTTATTTTTAAAATAAAATACCTCTATTTTATGTTAATGTTTATTAAATATTAAAAATACAAGGTCTGACAAGCTCATGAACTCATTATAGAAAAAATGCTACATCCCTCATTGCTGAATATCACTACNGAGAGATTGCACTGGAGAGAGAGCCTGTCTAGTATTTGAAAGATTAAATTACATTTTTGTTCTTCTAGTGTTCATTTTTATAATTAAAAAAAGTCCTTACATTTCTATTTCTTAATTTATCAGCTTCAAATAGTACTGATTTGCCCCAACCTATAAAAAAAATGGGGAAATAAGTGGCCATATAGTTTCTCTTCCCTTCCTGTCTCTGGATTTTTATTTTTGTTACAATATTAATATTCTTTTTTTTAATATTCTTGATTAAATAAAAATATGTATTTACTTTTGGCTTTTTTCCCCATTGTTCTTGCAATTGCTTTATCTTGGTTCCACAATTAGACATCTTTAGTGCTCACAAGCAGTTTATTTATCCTCGTTGTTTATTTCTTTGTTTGCCTAGCTTGCATTAGCTTTCTTGTTTCCATGTGTGCTACTGGAAAATATGTTTTCTATTCACTGTGGACATAAGCACATTGGCTGGGTATAAAATCCTAAGTCATACTTCCTCCCCCAAAACATTGGGGAAGAGGGTTTCTCAAAGTGTGATTTTTCTGGGACCCCTGCCTCAGAATGATCAGATGTTTGCTTCATAGTAGTTCCACCCTAGGGATTCAGAAGTTCTAAATGCTCTGCCCACTGACAGACACATCTAGGTCATCACCCTTTTGCACGAAGGTGCAAGAGCCAGTGGCCCCAGCTTGTTCTGTGGACTCCAGGCTCTGAACTGTGGGAGCGAAACCGTGAGCCAGTCAGGAACTTACTTTTGTGAGCTGGTTTCCTCATCTGGTTTGCTGCCCCTTAAAAAAAAACAAAAAAACCTTATGGGATTTTAAATTTCTTGAACTCCAGTCATTTTCTCTGGATATATCTTTGGGTTTATAGTCTTGTATAATTTTTCTCCCTGAACTTGGGGATTGGCTCTTTGGTTTAGGAAAGTGTTCCTTCCATTAGAACTTGGAGTGGCTTCCTTTTCTGCCCCACGTCCTCATCTGCCACTCCATCCTCACTCAGCTGACTTTCTTCATCGCCAGCCTCTGAGCTTTGTCCAGGTTTTTGCTTCTTCCTTGTCTTGTCTCCACTATAAGCCCAGGTGAGGTGGTGGCTTCTCACAGCTTATGTCAGAGGTGCTAGAACAGCATCTGCACATTGTCAGAACTCAATCATTCAAAGAATTGTAGAATGAACAAATGAATGGCTAAGTGGGTGAATGAATGAAACAGCCACATCTGTGTTGAAACCAACTGAATCTAAACTGGAACCTATGCTTTCCTTTCATATCTATCACTTTCTCCTCATAATCCTTCATTTTTCTGCTTTGTTTTGTGGACTTCTCCACAGGCTTGTCCACGTGCCTACATTCTCAGCATTGTCTTTTCAAATTCCTGCTGCTTTGAGATTCTCACTTCTATAACAGTTCTGTTATCTTAGATTATCTGTTTCTGTTATTCTTTATTTTTATCTCTATTTTGTAATGTCCTGTGTTTTATCTCTTATAGTTCTTCTGTAAACTATTTGTCCCATATTCTATTTTCTCTTAAATTTATCTGAGAATATAAAAAAGTCATTTAACTGGAAGACATTCACCCCCACCCCACCCCCATTTTTGGAGAGATTCTTTGAAACTATGTCCATTGTCAGACTTTTCCATGATGTAGTCTGTGTTTTATTTGGGTTATATCCCTGCTAGACCCTTTTTGAGGAGTATTGCTCATTTGTGAATGGGGACAATTTCGTTGGGTCCTGCTAGTTACTGAACCCGCTACTTGGGTTTCCTGCCCACCCTGCACCTTCCCTGCCCTCATGGGCAGTTGTTACTCACTTTGGGTTTAAGAAAAGCAAACCTGACTTTGCCTCTTTTTACTGGAGCAACTTAGAAAAAGTGGGAGGAAGGTGCAGTCAGCTGTCGGGTGGGGGGGCCGGTGATGGAACCGTGCCTGGCTCCAGGCTCCCCTCGTTAGATCCATATGTCCCCGAGTGTTTCTTACATGATTCTGCTAAAGCTGGAAAGAAGTTACAGCCAGCATGAGCACGGTGTTTATAATGATTTGTTTTGAGTAACTTGGTGGTATTTCAGGATTCAGCAAGTGCTGATAATTTGTGAGTAACTGCTGGAGGCAGAGAAAACTAATGTTTATTGGATACCTACTAGGTGATGATGGCTTTACATCTGTTATCATTCAATTTAATCTTCACAACAACCCCACGAGCTGGGTATTATTATCTCCATTCTGTGCACCAGGAAACTGGCTGGAGGTGCATTCCTACTGGGATATGATTCTGTAGTAAGTACTAGCTCTACTGAACCCCAAGGTCCTCTGTGCTGAGATGTCTCCATGACCGTTTCTTGCCCTTCTTGGCAACATTTGACTTTATTGGGGCCTAAGTGAAGACAAGGTTTGCCATTGTGTTCATCTTTCTGAATGTTTTTAACACAGGGGTAAGAAGTGATCTTACCTGTGGGTTAAGGCTGTAGGAAAGAACGGGTTAAGACAGCAGTTAGAAACAGGTGGCGTGTCCTCAGCTTCTGGTTACGTAGCATTGCAGCTGCTGGGCTATGGAGAAGGCCAAGGAGGAGGAGAGACACCTCGTGCCTTTAGAGCCCCCCGTCCACTTGCCTGTCTTCCCAGGGGCTGCATCTCATGATGGGACCTTGGGCAGCTATCATCTTACCTGACTCTCTCACCCTCACAACATGTTGCAGATCATGGGCATTCAGTAAATGCTGGTTGAATGAATTAGTGAATCAGTGATGGTGAAGTGAGTAGAGGCTCTGTGTTCACATCACACACCCTTGGAGACCTACTTATGCTCTTATACCTCTTCCATCCTTAACTGGGCA